TTCAATCTTGTTGGCAAATATCATAAACTGACTATATATCGGCATATATTTAAATACTAAATCCAAAGTATTGTTTAACTACTCAATTTAAATTATCAGTTAATTCAATTCCAGGCTATTTGAAATTATAATACATAACAATATACGCATTTCACCTACACTTGAAGCGAAAATTTAGGGACAATTGAAACATGAAGGCAAAACATACGAGCTCTTTTGTGATTGTGTAAATATAGAATCTATCACAGCAGGAGAACCACATCGACTCTGCCAATAGAAAACTTACTAGCCAACACTGAAACTGTTAAAAAATCCAATTTTAAGGTGCATATAATGAACTGGATGAGTTCAAAGAGGTAAAGATGCCCTTGGTAATCTCATCTTACTCCTCCAGAACCAAGCAGTCAAGCCACAAGAAAATTATAAAATATCAATGCGAGACCACTTGAATATTATATAAAAGCATAATTATGGTATTACACTGTTGAAAATGTCAGAAATCATACTTACAAATCTTAGGAAGTTAAATATTAAGTGATCTTCCACTTGTAACCACAACAATAATATTTAGAAAGAAGTTAACACCCACCTTATCAAACTTAGAACATATTATTAAATTTTTAATGAGAAAATATCGATATGTTTGAAAAATATCACAAAAAAGCTTTTACAATAATCAGAATCATAGCAAGTTAAACGTAAAATCATTTACAACCAGAGTTGAAAAATCATTACTATTAAATTAAGCAACGGAAGGCTCTCTAAACTAATAAAAAGTTTGTTTTTGTTTGTTTGGAACTAAGCACAAAGCTACACAATGGGCTATCTGTGCTCTGCCCACCACGGGTATCGAAACCCGGTTTCTAGCGTTATAAGTCCGAAGACATACCGCTGTGCTACTGGGGGCCTAATAAAAAAGTAAAGATATATGTTAATACCACGATTTTTATGCTAAATATCCCATCTGAAGATGGACTATAAGAATCACTATAGTCTGCTTCCAGAAGGAGTGGATACTGGTAAGTTACAGAAACAACAATTCCTGCAGGAGGTCCTCTCCCATATCAGCATCTATTTACAGTTTTACTTTTCTGGTGGATCTCCTGTACCAAATAAGCCAAAGTGAAGGGCTCTAAGAAGTGGGAATGCCACTTTATTCCACATGCCACGAAAGTCATCAAAGTCCACTGTCCACACCATAACTCCTCCATATCCCTCCTCACGTACAAATCGGGCTTTCCGGGACAGACTGGCAGGATCATCATACCCAACCCACTGATCACCACGATAAGCATATGGGCCAATAGCTTGAGATGGGTCTCTCACTTTTGTCCAAGCTTCGAGTTTTATTTTTTTGCAAACCTATAAAAAAGATGAAAAAAGAAGCACCCAATGTCAAACTTGAAGAACCATTTCTCCTAAATTACAATTCAAAGCAAAACTTTAAATTAATGAATAGATAGTTTGAAAATGTGATTCTACAAAACAGAAAAAGAGTCTTCTTTTGATTTGTTTTTATTTGTTTGTTTTGAATTTCACGCAAAGCTACACGAGGGCTATCTACGCTAGCCGTCCCTAATTTAGTAGTGAGAGACTAGAGGGAAAGCAGGTAGTCATCACCACCCACCGCCAACTATGGGGCTACTCTTTTACCAACGAATAGTGGGATTGACCGTCACATTAAATCGCCCCCACGGCTGAAAGAGTGCCCTAACCACCTGGCCATGTCGGGCCCTTTTGACTTGTAGCCTGTACGTTTCTACTTGACATTTCTATGGGTGTTAACAAAATTTGTTCTGTGAAAGTGGGAATTAGAAACATTATGATATTTTCAAAAATAATATTTTTTACAAAATTTATTTTGGAATAAAGTCAGAATATAAATACCGACTCTTCTTGTTCTTAATTACCATTTTATATGCAATTCTAAAATTGCACAAAACTCTTATTAAGTTCAGGTTTATAACAAACTCTTAACATACAGTTAATAAAGATGTCTCTATCGTACTCAATAGATGTTTTATTTGAAAAAAATAAAGTTACTGTCTTCAAATGATTTGGATTATAAAAACAATATTCCGGTTTGGGATTCTTTATATAACTTAAACTATTTTAAAAACAGCCGACTCTCTTATTACTTACGATTTTACTACTATATATCCTAAACTAGACCTGAAAGATTTAATCAGGTTCTTTAACGACCTACTTGATACATTTATAGATACAGAAATAATTATTCCTAAATGTAAATTCACCAAACATTAGTGTGAAAATATAATTTAGTTTTGTAGCTATAATTGTTATATTACTTTTAATGTTTGGAATTTCGCGCAAGGCTACACGAGGGCTATCTGTGCTAGTCGTCCCTAATTTAGTAGTGAGAGACTAGAGGGAAATCAGGTAGTAATCACCACCCACCGCCAACTACGGGGCTACTCTTTTATCAACAAATAGTGGGATTGACCGTCACATTATAACGCCCCCTCGGCTGAAATGGCGAGCATGTTTGGTGGGATGGGGATTCGAACCCACGACCCTCCGATTGAGAGTCAAGCTCCCTAACTACCTGGCCATGCCGCCGGGCCGAAGAAGTGTATAAACAAACAATGGGTATTCCGATGGATGATAATTATGGACAACTTGTATCTATTCTTCTATGAAAATTAATTTTTGAAACAGATACTAAACCCTAATCTATATTTTCATAGTTTTCGTTACATAGTCGATTTGATCTTAATCAATAACTTGAATTTTGATCCAAACATAATATACGATATTACCTAACGGAACGTAAAATAGAAAGAAGCAATGATAGTGATATTCATGCACATTACTAAGATATAGATATTAATTTTGTAGGAGGTAGAGTACAGTTGACTATTTTTGATAAAAGATGGGAAGTTGTTTTCCCATCCTTGGTTTACCCATTCCTGAGACTATTGTTCCGTCGATATTGTTAAAAGGATTATCTCACAATAAAAAAGATGTTTAACAATTTGTAATAATAGTACTTCTTTTACGGATAATGTTAAATTATTCATAAGTAAACTGAAAAAATATTAGTTATGAGGACTAGTATTTTAAAAAATTCATACTTTTTATAATAAAATGACGTTATATTGAAAAAAGTAAACTCTGGTTCACGGAAGCTATCTTGTGGAGAACATAGAAGGCGTTGGCTACTCAAGGTTATCCTTGGTTTAAATAAATTAACTAATGTGAACATATTTAGATTTAATTCAGTATATCGGGTCGGAAATTCCAACCTCAGGTAGCTGGGCTTGCCTCAGCTCACCCGGTTTATATTGAACAAATTTTTCAGAATTAATGTATTTCATACTATTATATATATATATATATGTATGTATACATATACATAAACGCTATTCCTGCTAAACAGTGAATAAGATTTGTTACATACTTCATAGTAAGCTAACATCCCAACTTCTTTAGTCAGTGGTCCTGCTATGCCCCCGCCTATAACTGGAGCCCTAATTCCATTATTGTTGGGATCACTCAAGGTAAAGCTACGGCCGTAGAAAGGAGTTCCAAGTACCAGCTTATGCTTTGGTGCCCCTTTCTCTACCCAGTACTCTAATGACGATTTAGCATTGAAGTCAGTATTTGGATCTCCATCCTGAGGATACAGTGGGGCTACATGTCCTGTGTGGTTTTCCCAGGAACCATGGTAATCATAGGCCATGATGTTAATAAAGTCGAGGTCAGCCGAAAGGGTAGACACCTCATAAGCGTCGTCTATGATGCATTTGGTACCAGAAACAGCTGCAGTTAAAAGTAATGGTGACTGTTCTTGATCAAAGGCCTGTCGCAATTCTAGGACAAAATTTGCAAAATTTGGGCGATCAGTAGTATGTCCCGATGAACGTCTCCCTTGCCAACAAACAGGATACTCCCAATCTAAGTCAAGACCATCAAAGTTGTATTTTTTAAGAAATGGGACAACATGCTGTATAAAATTCCTTCTACTTTTGGGACTACTAACTAAACGACTGTATTTATCCGCTCCTGAATCATTCCACCCTCCTAACGCAAGTAGAACACGTAACTGTGGGTTTTTGTTTTTCAGTTGAACCACTCGCTTGTAGAAGTTATTATCAATGTCAGCCCAACTATCGCACACTCCGAGTGTTAGCGAACTACTATCCAATGTAGCAAAGGCATAGATAAGGTGGGTGCAGAGGTTAGGGTCTATATTTTCAGGTAGAAACTGACCCTCGTTTGACCTGTACCATGCCCAGTTAGAGAAGTAGCATACTACCTTCAACTGTCGGTTTCCTGAAAGAAAAGCATAACGTTTTTTAATTAGCAAAAAACCACTTTTCGCAACAGAAGGTGTAAAGAAACAAAACTGAGATAAAGTAAGAAACCGTATTTGGAAACTGCTCCAAAATGCAATCAATCAATAAATTGTATTAGAAAGTGCTTATAAAACAAAAAGTTACTGCCAGCCAATATTCTTAAATATCTAATTAATTTCAATCTATTAATATTACCTCAGTTAATTAATGTGATAAAATCCAGTGTTGTTCATAATTTAGATAACACAATCAACTAGTCAAAGAATAACCGTCTATAAACAACTGTACTAAGAATAACAATGTCGTTTTTCAATGTTTGTATACATTTTCCCCTATGGTATCCTTTATATACACCCGAGCAAATAATTTTAAGTTGTAACTCCATATTTTCTCCATTGCGGCTTATTTATAATATCGCAAAAAATTAAAAATAAGTATTCAAATACTTCATTAACACCAGTATTAAATGTTTGAATACTTCAATGTTCAACTTTATAACGCTAAATGAACATTTGCTTGAACATGTATGGTACCATTTGGTACCAGAAACAGTCACAGTTAAAAGTAGTGGTGGCTATTCTGGACCAAAGGTCTGTCGCTATTCTCGGACAAAACTTGTAAAATGTGAGCGATCAGTATGTCCCTTGCCAACAATCAGCACAAGCAGATGTAGATAGTGTTTTATTTCTATTCATTAATTAATAATGTTAGGGCACCTGCTATACATGTTGAGTAGAACTACAGTAACCCCACTCATGTGCTTTCCGGACTAGAATTGTTGAATATCATGAAAACTTCTACATCTATCTACCACCAGGTAATGAAAAGCCTTCTACGCGGTGGAAGAAATTAAAGTTTGAACACTCAGAACCTGTTGAGAGTGTTTGTTTTAATTTATAAGATTTTTAGCTATGCGAATTATTCTGTTTTATCTGTAAAGTTTCTTTGAAGATATACTATGAAACCATTTATAATGGGTGGTATTTACTTTTTACTTAAAGGATTAGTCCAAGCATACGTTCAGGGAGCCTGTAGTACAGAAGAACGGACAAATAGATCATTCCGATCCACAGCAATTTCGTGATGCATTTAGACATTTTGGTGATCCAGACTGAAAACAGTAGTTGTCGATGACGAGTTGATGAAGATAGTGTCATGCTATAAATACTGAGTCGACCTTTATTAGCTACACTTTAAAACATGTGGTGTTCTTCCAGGATCAGAATTGTTGAATGTCAAGAAAACGCCTACATATTTGCATCAACTTATTGTTACTGTCAGCTTATTTGGGTGCTTACATACTTGAGAAAGTAGCGATCAATGTTTGTTCAACTTGTAAGGGAGAAGTAGTTGTCCATCGTATTGGTTGTGAAGCATTCGATAATCAACCGTGTGTATTTTGTCGACAAACGAATGATGCACAAGAACTGCATGTTATGGCAACTCTTCGTTAACTAGTTTGTAAACTTCTTTTTAAAATATATTCCACATGTTATACACATGAAAAGCGTGCCTCAAAGAGTATGTATAAATGCAAAACGATTGTGCCTGTATATCATTTCCTGTGGGAAAACCCAATACATTATAAAGATCTATAAAATTATTGATATTATCACTTCATGCCCTGAAAATGTTTATCACGAAAACGAGTGTGTCAACAAGCTAAAGCAATACTTATGAAACTGATGCATTTATATGTTTACAATATTAAGTCATGTGCATTTACTCTTAGAACTCATGAATAGTTAAAAAAAGTTACTTCATATGTATTTTTATTCACTGAATGGTTTCAGATTTTCGATATTTTTTGCAGATTCTTCAAAATACTTTGGTTATTCTCAGCATAAAATAATGTAAACAGCCAAAGAGGTGGTATACATATATAATGGTTAGCCTAAAATGTTGTTTAATAATCTTTTTACTTCATAATTGTATTCGAGCGCTAAAAATCGAAAAAGAAAGGTCTTCACGCCTTGGCTGTTCTACAGTGAGACTGCTAAGCCTATGTTCTTAATTAATCATGGCGTTTACTAGATGGCAGCACTAATGGTTTATTTACACAAGGTTTATGAAAGAGTAGCAACTCTTATAATAGCGCCATTATATTTGTATTAAATTAATTACATTTAAAATCAAAAGGTTTGTTTGTTTTAGGACAAAGTAACGTTTGGCTATCTCCTATGTCCACCGGAGGGGGGGTGATCGAATCCCGGATTTTGGCATTGCAAGATAAGGGACTTAATGCTGTTCCACCGGAGGAACTAACGTCAAAACGATCTAGTATCATAAACCGAATTATTTGATTTGATGCATTTTGCAATCTGAATGTACTTGTACCTTAAGTGTTGTATATGATCATGTCACACTGTTACTGCCTCAAAGCGTTCTTAATATTAACTTCCAAATAGAACAAGCTATCTAATTACATAGAAATAAACATCAACCTGTTAATAAGTATAGATATTTTAATATAATGTTCTTGCGTTTCTACTTTACAAGGATTAAAATGCATTGTCTTTTTAACCGTGTGCCCCCGCTGTTAACGATGTTTTCAGAAGACTCTTGAAATTAGAACTACGACAGTTTCACATGATTTTCATGTGTATCTATATCCTTGGCTAAGGGAAAATTTGTGAGAGAACAGTTTGTCAATTGCTTCTGAAAAGTGTTGAATTATTTAACATTCATAAACACCAAATGCAAAAAAGATTTTAGGTAAAATTCTGTTCGTATATGGCCGGAGGAGGGGGTAGTCTAAATGTTAGCGTGTCCAGACAAATTATGAATAAAGCTTATATTTGTGAGATTTAATGTTTTAATCTGTAGTTATTTCCCCAATTATAATATAACCATATAACTATAGCTTACCTGAACAATTGCTAGCTGTTGAACCACACCACATAACGATGAGGGAGAAAGTTACTGTTACACCTGGCTGTAGGTTAGGTTTTTGAGTTAATATAGCCTCGAGGATGTGACGGTTTCGTTTTGCAATCTCTTGCACGTGATTAAAACGTCAGAATCAGCCTAATACGTGACGTAACTTACATGATCACAGCACTTTGGAGACGAAGGGAAAACCGCATCGCAACTAAAAATGATTTCGAATAAACTGTACAAAAGATAGCATTAGAAGTTAAAGTTCTTACAAATGATGCCGAACTATAGCTGTTTGTGCTGTAAGTATTGGTGTTTTTTTAAGGATTTCAAATTGGATGAAACGCCTCGGTTTGGCCGGGACAGTACCTGATATGTACCAGTCTCATAGTAATTACGAAAATCATCTCAAACACGAGCTGGACTGATGGAACTATTTTTCCTAGTGGGGGAATACTATTTTCGCTGCTTTGGACTTCCTTGTGGTACCGATAGACACATTTAGTTGGCACGTAGACCAAAAACTAAAGTTATACGAATAAAAAACATTAGAATTTTCACAGATGTATTTATACTGCCTGTGATAAATTGTAAGCTAATGTCAAGAAATCCGTTACCAGCTGTTAAGGGCCACTAATGCTCTGATTAGCCAAATAAGTTACGTGTTTGCCAGAGATGTTGCTAAGTGCTTGAAAAATTCGAGGCTCAGACCCATAAGCGCGGGAATTTTCTGCGTTTGGTATTATCAGATATCAATCACGATTTTCTATTCTGACTTTTCAAGATACCAAGTGGTGATCCGAGGCACTGTCAAATAGAATTGAGGCACAGGTCCCGTGTGCCAGCGCCTAGCAACTCCTCTGATGTTTGCATATCCAACATGACGGGAAAAAGTATGATTCAATATCGACAAACAATTAACTGCATATTCACAGTTAGAGTTGGAATTGGTAATTTTTTTAGTACAATAACTTTTGCGAATGGTGAAAAAAAACACACCATTGAAAGCGCCATGTAACATTTTGCGCAAAAATATAATACAGACCAGAAATACTTGGAAGTCATATGCATTTGTTTAGGTTAAAGCTGAAAGGAGTGGGCGTAAGTCATCTTTTTATTTCTTTATTCAGTTAAATGGCCATTTTACTTTTGTAAAAAACGACAGATTATAAGGGTTATCTGACTGGTTAAATGCTGAATCGCAGTCATCAGAGTTAATCCTAAACTAAGCAAAAACGTCAAGTCAACAACTTTGCAACTATTTTACGGCCCTAATGTGTAGGGCCAGATTATCCATTAGACATACTGGGCACTGTGCCTAGGACCTACGGAAGTTAGTGAAGCCTACGAAATTTATTGAAATAGTTATATGCTATGACAAAAAGTGATGAAGATATAGCATAACAGAGCTATGAGGCCCACAAATCGTTGGAGAGCCCATGAAACTTTAAAATTCGTTTAGGAGGAGATGCATCCACAGATGGGCAGAAGGTTTTCTTTAATACTGGATACTTACCGCGCCAGTATAACTTAGTATTTGTAGTGCATATGTAAGATATGTAAGATCCTAGGGCCTGTGAAACCGCTAATCCGACCCTGCTAATGGGTCAGATTGGCATTACATGCACTGGCCCAAGCTAAATTTATTGAGGCCTCTGGCTACTGGGCAAGTTTGAATGTTAAGCTCTGAGTCATACATGTGCTTCACGCCTCAATTTTGTGCTAATTGAAACTGGATATCTAACATTAGGGCAAACTGTACTGATTTAGATCTACCTGGTAAACATCTGTTACTTTCAGGAACTATTTGACCAGCTGCTAGAAAACTGACATGTGAAGCACGAGCTGCAGAAATGTTTCACATAAAGGAGAGGAAAAGCTATACAACAGGAAATGACTCAATCTACTGGGAAGATAGGTTTGTTTGTTCAGCAAAAACCTACAAATGAGCTATCTGTGCTGTACCCACCACAGGTATCGAAACCCGGTGTGACGGATTTATTATTATAAATTTATTTTAATATCGATGTTTGTTTAAGTTAAATTTATATATAGAAATGTACATAACATATACTGTTAAATATGTATTGCGAAACTCCCACCTGTTCTCTAAAGTTGTAGAAGATTCTCGAGTGTAAGAATCAACAACATATGTGTGTACGTAAATGCTAGTGTAGCTTTATATTGTTACGTAATCTGAATTTTCTAGAAACTCTCCACATGCCTAAAAATATAACCAACGCGACGCGCCTAAAAAGTAGTATCTATTATTGGTTTGCTATAGTCGATGTGC